TATCAACCTTGGCACTGGCAAATCTGCATATAAAAAGGAACCCTGTTGAAGTCAACAGACTCCACAAAGGCATGAAACTCTGCAGCAGAGATCCGATTGCCAGACAGGTCATAATTTGATATGTGGTTCTACACACAATATCTCTATTTACAACTTTTCCAGCTGCTCTGATCTCAATTGCACTAATAGGAAAGTGAAGTAAATAACCACTGACTTCACTGGAACTACTACAGACTTAGATCAATATAACTGAGTTCAGCATCCAACCTAGAGTGTATTTTAGCTTTCATTAGTCTAGCTGATCAGATAAATCAAGGCTAAATTAAGTTAGATCGCCATTAAACTCTAACAGGATCTGTTTGGTTGGCTGGTTTGTGAGGAACTGAACACAATCCAGTGCGCCTATAACATGAACTGGAAAAAAGGGAAAAGAAAAATGGTCAAAAGTAGTTTCCATTTCAGCCACCTATTCTTTTCTTATCTAGTACCCCTGGTTTACCTTTTCAAAAGAAAAAGTTAAAATTTGCCTACCAAATAGATATTAGACAAATGACAAAACAGTTGAGGCACTGTTCCTCTCTACATCGGGCTAGGTGAACGCTTCCATTTAAATCTATGACAGTAAAGGAAAATGCAATATTTAAAGTTCGTGGGGAAATAAGGGCAAGCTGTTTTACAACAACTCTCTATGCAGTCAAACATAGGCACTGTTTTGATCATCTTTTCCCACCTATTATGTGATCATTGTCAAGGGACTCTGTTTTTTCTAAAAAACGTCTTTATGAAAATGAGAGTTTACTCATACTTTTTCATAAAATCATGCAATTTGTCCTTGGAAAAATACTGGTCAGTTCCAATGTACATTATTATTATTAACCAATAACAACAGGATAGCTCTCAAAGTACATCTTTCATTATTATATCGTAAAGGGCATCCTCCCCCAGCAAAGTGGTAAAATTTCCCCAGCCCCCATTTTGAAACTCAGGGAAGTAAGTGACCTTGCCCAAGGTCACAAAGCAAACTAGTGGCAGAGCCAGAAACAGAAATCAGTTCTCCTAAGTTCTACTCTAGTGCTTTATTCATAAGGCTCCATGGATTTCTTACACCAATTATACCACTTTTCATTATTTGTACTGGTTTTAACTAATACCCAGTCATATTCACTCAGAAATGTATATGGTATTAGCTTTCTGCAGGCAATGGCACAACTTATAGAGACTTCAGCATAAGCAGATTTGGGCCTTACCACCCTCCTAGGTAGCCTTGTGGGCCACGTCCAGAGAAGTATGAATATGCAGTATGTGACACTGCAGACCCATCTGCGACACCACATGCTGCACATACAGGCATTCCTCACACAGCTACCTTGCAGCGTGGGGAGAGGTGTTTGACCCCAGGAGATCCCAGGGTCAAAAAAACCCACACTGAGAAAAAGCAGGGCAGCACACATGATGGCAGTGTGCACCGCCCAAGAGCAGAGCCTCGCCAGTTGCAGCCACATTCTTGGCTGTCAGCCAGGCATCCTGCCAAGGCCGCCTTACCTGTGGGGAGGCTCCCAGGTAAGGCTGCTGGGGCCAGCCTCCCCTACCCACCTGGGGTAACGTGCTGTGCACACCAGTGTGCATGGCACAGGTGTTGCAGCAGCACCACCTTGTGCCACTTCTACTTTTCCCTGGGAAACAAACATCCACAATCATCTGGAAGCGCAAATAAGTATATTTGGGACCTGACTCATGGAAAAATATTCTTGGGCCCATCCTTATATACTACACTATTTTAATTGAAGCATGCCATATTAAAGGACACCATGACTTTCTACACCCAGTGACTGCATGCTGGATGAAGCAGAGAAGCACAGCAAATAGAGAGCACTATGGTATGTGCTCATGCAGATCTGCGAGCCAAAACATATCTAGTGGGTCACATTTTTTGCCTGCTACCCTTGACACCATCACTCTTTCAGTAAATCCAGCAAAACTGTGAGACAAGAGGCCAAAATCTTGTGCAAGTTAAACAAGGACAAATCTGACACCACTCCACTGAAGTTGATGCAGTAACTCTAGATCTACTTCTGCATAACTAAAATCAGAATCTGGCCTATGGATCTGGTATGAAGTGGGTGATAACAGGCACAAACTAAACAAAGTAAGTTTCCTAGCAACACTGAATCCAGCTCTGTCGTGGATTCAGTCCTGTCAGATGAATGATATTCAAAAGCCACATATGCTAGAAGTCGCTGCAGTGCATCTATGCTACAGGAGTTTCAGAAGCTCCGTCAGTGATGCAGGATCACATTTCTGGCAGCAAGTCAAGCCATTCAACATTACAGTAAACACAGTGTTAAAATAGCTTTAAGAGCTCACTGTGCTTTCATGCATCTTTGATCTGTTTTATAAGATCATCTCCTGAGCATGCTTACACTTTTGAAAGAATAATTTTGATGATTGCCTTTGATGTTCACACAAGAAGAGTACAGTATTTGTTATACACTTGAGGGACAGGATATTTTCCAGTGGTTTTAATACATACATCCAAAAATTCACCCTCTATGTTATGGAGAAAATCCAGCACTATCTATATTTACCTGTGGCAGCATCCCAGCACATCTCTCACCAGCCTTTTCTTGAAGAGCAAACATGTTGCTTACTTGGGGTAACATAGACCACTTCATGCAACACTTCATAGCATAATTCTCTCTACATAAGTTCTTACAATGACAGATTGTACAAGCCCAGTGCTACCTAAGCCAACAACTGTACTTCACTAGATACCAGTGAGGCTCATCCAGGGGGCCGCAGCAAGGGAAACAGCCACAACACAATCTCAATTCATGGTGAGGGAGTCACCCCAGATGCCAGGAGACCTCCCACCTGGGAGACCCTGACATTTTGAGGTCTGCTGCTAAGGGCTTAGGCTGCAATTTGCCTGGAACCTCCCCCCGGGCCTGTCTGCCCCAGGTGACCCCATCAGGTGCACAAGACTCTGGTAGCGCTGAGACGCACGAGCACAAGAGCCACCACACTGAGGTCTGGGTCCAGGGAGAGGAGCCACCCAGTGAGTGCCTCTGGGGAAGCCCATGTGTGCAGCCAGCTACAGAGCTCAGGCAGGGAAATGCACCCAGAAGCTAACATGGTTTTCTCTGACGTCTGGCATTTTCATTAAGAGAAAAAAATTAACCTTAAACATTTTCCATTGAAAAACATAGGAAAGACAGTTTGGCAGACAAGGTTCTTTGGGTAGCTGTGATATCTTTTATTACACCAACTTAGTCTAATAAGTTGGTCTTATTAGTGACTACAGAAAAGATATGATATCTTTTATTACACCAATTAAACACAATCTTGTATTAGCTGGTTTAAAAAAAGATCACATCTAACCACAGAACTTTGTCTGTGTTGGTCCTTCAACCAACACAGCGACAACCAATAGGCGGTTTGATTTTCAGTTGCCAAATGAAAAACCTTCCCCTCCCCCCCTCCCCCTATTTTTTTTGGGGGGGGGGGAGGGTGCCAAAAATCAGGAACCTTTTCAATCACATTTTTTCCTATGAAGAATTCAAGTAACTTTGAAGTGGTCTGTGCCCCCAGCCCCTTTTCCTCCCAGCTAGCTGCAGTGGCAGCCCACAGCGTCACCAAGGGATCCAAAAAGGGTTAGCTTTGAAAATCAAACTGTCTATTGGTTGTTGCCATTTTGGTCTAATGCAGCCTGCCAGGCCGTGCTATCCAGCCCACGGGTCCCCTAACATTTTTTAAAAATTAATATTTATCTGCCCTGGGCTGCCTATCATGCGGCCATCGATGGCTTGCCAAAACTCAGTAAGCAGCCCTCTGCCCAAAATAATTGCCGCCCCTGGTCTAAGGGCACAGGCAGACACGGCTGTGTGGGTAGATGTGATCTGTTTTATTAGACCAACAAATAAAAGTCTGTGTTGAGTGAGTCTAATAAAAGAGATCGCATCTTTTCTGCAAGATCTTTTCGACCAGCAAAAAAATGATTGTATTTAGCTGGCCCAATAAAAGAGACCACACCTTTCCCATGATCTCTTTTAGTAGACCCACGAATAAAAGACCGTTGAGTTGGTCCAAAACAAGAGGTCACATCACCTTTTCTGTGACCCTGGCGGGAAGGGGCGTGCGGAGCGGAGCACCCCAGAGCCCCCGACTCCCGCACCAGCAGGGCTGGCCGGGACCCCAGCCAGGGGCTCACCTAGTGTCATCCCCTGCTCCGAGCA